CTGTACAGGAGTAAAGAAACCACAATATATTTACATTTAAAATGCTGGAATCAGATTTTTTTTTTCAGATTCATTGATTATCAAATTAGTTGGCAATTAATGTAATAGTTGACAGCTCTAGTTAACAAGGCGAAAACTTTTTACAGCTTCCTCTGCATAATGAAGAATTCCATTGTACTGTGAATCCAGAGGTCATATACATTAAGGGTGGGAATCGCCAGGACCCACTATACGATTTTATCACGATACAAAGGTCATGACACGATATTACTGCAATATTGTGAAATGCTATTGCGATAAAGTTATTTTTTTACCTTTTATCTGACTGCAAATTATTTCCCCAAAGGAAAACATTCTAAACATCAGTTTTACATCATCAGATAAGGTTTTCAGTCTGTTCATCTGACTTTTCATCATTTTTATTGCAGCAAAATGTGATGCAAAGCAGACAGACTGACCAACTCCATCATAAACCCTGTCAGAAATGTTGCATACACCTGAAAAACTGAACTGTTGGCAGATTTATTGCCCTCTGTGAGGCCAGATTAAACACGTGAGAGAAACACTTTACATGCAGGTATCCCACTAACTGAATGGCAACACCCATGTTGGAAGTGTTTTGGTGGGCAGGTTTTGGTTGGCAATTCCCCATTTTTGTGCTGCATTTTGCAGGAGGTCTGCCTTGTTTGCTCCAGTGTGACTTTCATGTACTGCTCAAGTTTAGAAAACATGAGACAGCAGTCACCAGTTCTCTGTGAGATAATGTGCCGTTATAGTCACATATGAATCCACTTACCTTGAAGTCCAGGGGTCACAAGTTAATGCCACCCTTCCTACTGCACTCAAAGATTCCTCAGCATTATGCTTCACTTCTCTTTAGAGCTGCATCGGTGAAAATGCATCGGGACGGAGTCACATACCTGGGTTCCAGTGTCTTTAGCATATAACAAAAGCCTTCATTTTCAACAACGCTGTATGGACACAGATCTGCTCATGAAGTAGGTGATGGACTGAGTTGTTGTTTTTTTTCCCACTAACTCAGAGTTGGGTGGTAGTGTTGTCAAGCTAAGTGTTTCCAGTGTTGGTTGACTTTTCAGTGAAACAGGTTTGATGTTAGTGGCTAACGCTATCTCTAGATGGTTGAGTGTTAGGTGAGCTATCATGTTCATGTTATTACCAGAGTATTTTAATCTCATATGACAACGCTTGCAAATCTCATGTGTCATATCCAAGACCTTCTTTCTTCAGTGTTAAAAAATCCAAATTAAATCCAGATGTTTTATTTAAACACCAATGGTGCATTTCTAATTATCTTTCCCCGGTGCCTCCATCTTTTTTTTTTCTGCCAAATGCCACTGACTGAGACCTCTGCTAACCTCGCCAGGAAAAAAAACATCAGCACCATCTTGTGGACATAAAAAGCAATTGATTATATTATTATATCACCAAAAGTTGTATTAAAATGAGTATTTGTAGAAATTAATGATGTATATGTAACCCACTGCCTCTGCACACCTGTTGCCAGACTCCCTCTACATCTCCCCCATCATGATTTTTCTTTACAGTTGTGGTGGAGTGTCATGTAGAGCAGTGGTGTAGTGGTAATTGAGGTGGGTGTACTACTAGATAGATAGGTAGGTTACCGATGAGGAAGTGGGCATACTCTCCTATGTATTATAATAGCTTTTTAGCTGATAGGTGGGTATACTGTAACTGGATAGAAAAAGAAGTGGGTATACCCCGTATACCTGAGTATACCCTCCACTACACCACTGATGTTGAGAGAAGGAGGCACCAGAAGCAGGATTCAGGATTGTGGTTGAGACCTTGACTGTGGTTTTATTTCACACTCAGTAACATTTCTGCTGCTGGCTGTCACAGTGGCTGCTGATATCACATCCTCAACAAAATTATCAACCTTGCAGAGCAAAAGAAAATAAACATTTTTTTGGGAAATTAATCTCGTACTCAAACAATAATTAACATTAAAAAATAATACATCAAAAAACATAACTGTCAAGCCGAACTAAATACAACTCTCTGAATGGAATAAATTACCAACTTAAAACATACATTCTTAAATAAACTTAACAATCAACAGAAAAGCTAATGCTCCATCCTGCCAGGCTTACACAATATCAGTCATCAACTCCTTTACAGCACACTAGCCACACTCATGGCCTCACCTCAATTACATTGTCAAAACTTGTTTGCAGACTGTAGGCTGAAATGTTAATAAACAGTAACAGTGAACAAATTAACAAAATGTGTGGTTTTACCGCTGATATTATGATATAATGCAGGAGGCTGTTACAATGCTGACCTTGCAGGGCAAGAGAAAATAAATTTGACAACATGGCATCCTGAACAGAGCAAATCTCGAAGTGGTGTCCTGCCAGGGACAAACAGTGTGAACTGCCACATTTGCTGCGAAACAGACAGCGCAACGGCATTTCCTACTGGCTTTAACGGACAGCTGCCTTACATATATAATAAAAGATTGATACTTGGTGTCCGTGTATCGATACAATATGGCAATGCAAAGTATCACGATAATATGTTGTCTTGACATCTTCCCCACGCCTTAACCTACGTTGTAGCCTGACGTGCACCTCCCTAGAAATGTAATGTGGAATTTATACTTATGCGTTGAATTGATGCCGTAGATACAGCGTAGGTTCTGCTTCGACATGGAGCCTACACTCACTGTAGCCTGATGGGCACTTCCCTAAAAATGTAACTACACGCTGTGGCAACACAGACCTCCTGTCTGTTTCTGTAAGATGGAACCATTTCCCTCAGTGGAAATGAAGATTTTGTTGACTTAATCAGAGATAAAACAAAAAAAAAAAATCTTGAAGACAATACAGCCTCCACAAAATATCGTTTTAAGTCTTGTGTGTGATTTATCCTTCAGGATTTATACTTTGGGATTTATCCTGGCTTCATGAGCAGAGGAAATCTCCGCTCATCGATAGGCTAATTCATACAATGTAAAATGCCATAGGCTTGTGCTAATACCGTTAGCATGTTGTATTTGTTTAAAAAATGTGTTTAGTATAAGACAATTGTTTTGTCAGTGAACCTTGTGAGTTGTAACGGAGCCCATTTACTGTATGTATCGTTGCCTTTGTGAAATGTTGCTGTTGTCCCTGTTTTATATGAGAAGAGGAAAAGATCGCTAGATGCAAGGCTAATTTATACAATGTAAAATGCCGTAGGCTTGTGCTATTAACGTTAGCCTGGTATATTTTTTTGTGAATACATGTTTAGTATAAGACAGTTGTCTTGTAGGTGAACCTTGTGAGTTGTAACGGAGCCAAATTATATACCGTTAGCTTTGTTAAATGTAGCTGTTGTCACTGGTTTTATATGAGAAGAGAAAAAGATTGCTAGCTGCTAGGCTAATTTATACAATGTAAAATGCCATAGGCTTGTGCTAATAACATTAGCATGACGTATTTGTTTGGAAAACGTGTTTGGTACTGTATGACAGTTGTTTTTTGTCGGTGAACCTTGTGAGCCGTAACGGAGCCGAATTTTACAATGTTACCTTTGTTGAATGTTGCTGTTTTCCTTGGTTTTATATGAGAAGAGGAAAAGATCGCCGGCCGCTAGGTTCATTTATACAATGTAAAATGCTATAGGCTTGTGCTTATACCTTTAGTATGTTGTATTTGTTTGGAAAACAAGTTTAGTATAAGATAGTTGTTTTGTAAGTGAACCTTGTGAGTTGTAACAGAGCAAAATTATGTACCTTTACCTTTGTTAAATGTTGCTGTTGTCCCTGGTTTTATATGAGAAGAGGAAAAGATCGCTAGCTGCTAGGCTAATTTAAACAATGTAAAATACCATAGGGTTGTGCTAATAACGTTAAAGCATGTTGTATTTGTGGGGAAAATGTGTCAAGATAGACGTGTTTGTGAATCCTGCGAGTTACAGTGAAGCCAATTTGTGCACTTGTGTTCGAAATTGTCTTGTTTAATGTGTGTTCAATGTGTGTTTTGAATCAACTTAACAGCACTCCACAGAAACTCCGCTGACCTCTAGTGTTCTAGAGGTATATCTGCAGAGTGACACAGACACACCAGCACAAGTATAAATGCTCACAACAACATGTGCATAGGGTCTGCTGCAGGAGTCTAAATCCCAGCTAAGAGGACGTCTCATTTTGGGTTAACGTCACATTTTGGGTTAACTTATACTCCATTCTGCTTAACTTAGACCAGTTGTCCTCATTCGTGGACACTTTTTTGTGCCATCTAATGACAGTAAGACCCCAAAGCACTAGTCCATGTAAAAACAAGATGGCAGCCATCTCTGCCAAGACAGTCTGCAGCTGATCCCAACACAAAAGTGGACAAGGTCCAAAACATGATCACATTTTTACCATTGAAACGTGTTTATTTACAATTAATAATGTTTGAAGTTGAATGTGCCAATAAATTTACCAATTTTAGCAACAGTAACAAGCTAAGACACTGTTAATTACGAAGTACTCCTTTGAAGACATTGGGACTTTATCATTGCTCATTTGAGAACATTGGGACTTTATTATTGTTGGCAATGCTTAGGTTTTTTATCCTTACCAGGTCCTACTAATCCCAAATACCTGGGAGAAATTAAAAAAACATACCAAACATCTGGGTCTCAGGAGGATAGTGCAGTACAAAGTTCTGTTTCTGGCCTACTTACTTTAAATACTTTGCTATTGTTTCAATAACTAACATTTTATCTTGCATATTTAGTGGTATTTCCACTTACAGGTCAACATTTTATGTATTTTAAATAAAAGAGATTTTGAGGGGAAATTGTCTTAAAAACGAGGTTTCTGTGTTGATCTACATGGTGGTCCTTCCCTCTCCGGCCCTGCAACGTGACTCCCGTCTCACGTTAGAGCTGGAGCTTTCTGAAGCACCGCCCAAAATGGGTGTCCGCGGAGTTGAACCTATCGCACCCCGGCAGATTTAAACACAGTGAATGATTCGAGAAGACACAGCGATGAGCGGGGCGGAGCTACACCGACCCTCCGCCAACAAACCCTGGGAAAAAAGAAGAGCAAAGCATCGGACTCACAGTGGAGTTTTTATGTGGATGATAACAAGTATCATTTGAAGAAGAAAAATGAGACTTAGGTCTCAAAGAACCGTCGCTTATTGCCCGGAGACACCGAGGAGCAACCGCCAGAGGTCCAACAAAGCGACGCCGAGACCTAGGCGCGTTACGTTACCTGCTGGGACCGAAAACCCTCTTCAAACCAAGGTAACATTACCTGCTGCTACGATCGTTTTCCCACTTAGTAACGTTTTCATAGCTATTCAAATGTTAGCCGCACTAATAAACATCCTGTGAGTTAACGTAAAGGTACCAGATACAGCTATAACGTTACCACCAGTTATCACGTCTGTGTTCTGATGCTAGGTAGTTAGCTAGCTATGCTAGCCAGTGTTCTCATAACAAAACCATAGACGGCGATGCTAACGTTAGCTAGCCGTTGATGTGTTGAAGCAGAATCTGGACGATAGGTGGCTTTTCGTTCCTGTTTAACGTTACTTCCGTTAACTATTCTCACTTTCTGGGTTCGTTAAATAAATTATTGTTTTACGGGCACCCGAACCTGCTAACGTTACGTTAGCTAACGTTTACGCTAAATTTTGTGAGAAGGGGTGATATACATGGTTTACAGTGTGTTGAGTACACAAGCTAAAAGCTAGCGCAGCTAAGGAAAAGCACTGCAGTAAATCCTACCTCCATGTTTTGATGATTAGTTTTTATAAGTGTTAGAACTCTTGATTCAATGTGATTTGGGATGCTGTTGAATTGTGTTGCGTTAGGAGATTATGTAAAATCTACCGACATTAACGCACCAAACTATAATGGATAAAGTCTCACCACCACTTTATCTTGCGTTGCCTCTCTCTATTACTCAAATTTAACACATTGGGAACATTGAGATAAAAGAGTAAACGCTTCGCTGGGTCCTGTTAATAGTCACAATCAAGTGCTCTGTGGATACTTCAGGTCCACTGTATTTATCCCATCTTGTGAAGGGTTCATTGCATGAGTGAAATATACAATCAGTCAAAAAATACAAAATGCAAGTCTCTTCCAAAAACAATCCATAGCACCCTGTAGGGTTTGTGCAAAAATTTAATGTACATTTTTGAAGGAGACTTGCATTTTATAGTGTTTGACTGAGAGTATACTTCACTGCAACAAGCCCTTCACAAGATGGAATAAACATAGTGTATTCAGTATGTACAGTGTCTGTGATTTGAAATGCCACTTCAATTTGAGTGTGTTTTCATCTGCATAAAACAAACATTGCACACAGACTCTCCTTATGTTGTAAAAGCAGATTGCGGTGGACACAGCAATCCAGTCGTTTTCTACACTAGGTTGCAAATCCCTCAATGGATGCTTTAAGTCTACAAAAGCATACGTTGAGTAATGTCCATTGAGACATCCCTTGTTGTAGACACTACAACATATAGACATCACCAGACCTTAGTGTCTTCCCTTGTGATGCTTTTACATAAAGCTCAGACGTGCAGCTCTATGACGTGGTGTCTGACAGAGGACTGATGCTGCTGCTGCTGCTGCAGCAGAGGATTTAACAGCCTAGTTGCATGAGAGAGGGTCTCAGTAAAAGTAGGTCACTAGGACACATGCATGCAGTATGTTTACGTGCAGGACTCCAGAGATGTATGCTTGCTGTCTTGAGTCATTTTGTTTATGGCTCACATGTGGGCATTTTCTTTGTAGTGACTGTTGGGGAATTAATGAAAAAGCAAGCCAAATATAATACACACCATGTAGTGCAGGGCAGTGTCTGTGACTTCATAAAGCAAATAGAAGGTCCCTGTTACTGATGTGGTCATGGGCAAAACATCAAGAAATGGTCATGCATAATCTTGCAGTTCACAGGTCCTATTATTATTATTATTATTATTATTATTATTATTATTATTATTATTTTTCTATACATCTGTGATACACAATTCCAGTACCTTATTGGCAACAGACACTACTGAGTGCAGCTTTTCTTTACTGCAGACATTTTAACTCTGAAACTGTTCTGCTTTGTCGTAGTTAAGCTTTTTATATTTTTTAGTCTGTTTTGCATTTGAATAATAGTACAGCCAGGTAGTATTGAGGCTGGTGTTTGTCTCTTTCAACAGCTTAGGTTTTATGCAGAATGTGCACAAAGCCCATGCAACTTACACTTATTGAGGTAACTGTAGCATTCCTTTAGTTACACAGATAGTTGGATGTATTTTAAATTCACACATTACATTATTGAGAACTGTGAGTTACTCTTATTATTCCACAGCTGTTGGGAAACGGTGCAATGTCATGGGGCATTGGTCTGAACACAACTAGACAATCACACTTTATAGTTCTTAATTAATGACTTTTTTAATATTTACTGTGCAGGTTGAAGAGACTGTTGATAGTGACCATCACCACTCAGATGACGAAATTCCCACAATGAAGAGGCGACCACTGCCTCGAGGCCGGGCAAGGAAGAGAGCCATTGCTGTTGATGACCGAGAAACTGGTATGTTTAGAAGAGAATCAAATAAAATAGATCTTTATTGTCCACCAGGAGTGGAAATTTGTCTTTGGCTCACCAAACACAAAAGGCAGCATTGTAAAAAGCAGACAGTCAGTAAGACAAGCACATAAAGTCATTACCAAATACTTCAACACATTAGATCAGCTCATTGTCTGTCTGTGGTTTAAAACTCATCAGTCACTTTATTGAGTTAAGGATACTGCTGGCACTCAGGATGAAGGACTTGTTAAAGACATTTTTGGTTATCAGAGGGACTCTAGCGCCTCCCAGAGCCCAAGAGCTCAAACTGAAGAGATAATGACAGCTATCTGCTAAGATTCACCTCGTTTTCTTTCTCATCCTTTCTGCAGAGAGTTGGGTCAAGGGCTTTTGTGGCCTGCCAACTATTTTACTTGCTATTGTCACAATCCTAGAGAGTTTATTCTTGGATGTACAGTCAAGGTGATAACACTAGACAGGAAGATGAAAAGTTAAAACACTCTCAACCATGGTTTGGCACACTAATTCTAAAATCTGCTGACTAACACCAAGGCCACTGAGTTTCCTAAGAAGATAAAGTCCCTGTGAGCATTTCTCGAAAATACACTCAGTATTTCCAGAGAAGCTCACATGGGAGTCCAGAATTGAACCAAGGTATTTAAGATTTTCCAGTTTCAACACGTTGGCCAATAAGTGAAACTGGCTCTGTCTTCAGATCTTGTTTTGTGCAAATAATCAAATCTTTGGTCGTTAGTATTTTCTAACTTGTTGATGCAACACCATGTTTGAATGGCCATAGTGTTTGACAGCTTCCAGTTATTCTTAAGGATGCTTTTTCATATATATTAACATGTTTTTTCCCAAATGTGAATTCCCCACACTGTTCCCTCCTCTTGTGTTTTCTAACTGATCATCATCTCTCGGTCTAGATTTGGCCTTCAAGACTCCGATCAGGCCCATCATGCGCCATCATGAGCGCGTCCTGTCAGAAATCGACCCAGTGTCTCCTCTCAATACAACAGCCAGGAACATCTACTCGCCCATCGTGCGTTTCCTCACACCCACCAAAGAGAGTGAGTACAGCCTTACTATCGCAGCACTTCTCTGTTTTAGATACACTGGCCTGAAATAGACTCATACGAGTCCAGATATTTTATTTAATTATGTGCTGTGGGGCAGTAAAAATGTACTCCGTGCTTTAATGTTGGGAGATATCAAGTCATCCTTTTGAAGATTGTTTTCTTTTCTCATGACGAAAGTGCCTGGTTGGATAAACTTATGTACCAGCTCCTTGCTGGTGGCTTGTGGTAAATTCCCACCCTGGGTGCATTAAATAGAAAAAACATTGTGAGCCCGTTGAATTGCTCAGCAGCCACTAATGTGGTGAGCTGACAGTTGGTATTTATTTTACTGGTGGAGGACTCAGTGTCCTGTTGTAACTCAGATCAAGTATGAGTCATTGCTTTTCCTTTCTGAAAACATCAGAAACTGTTGACTCCGTAAACAGCTTTGGAGAAGGAGTCACGCTGTTGTGCTGTGTGCATTACGTGAGTCTAAAATTGCATCCATGTTGTGGTCAGGTGCAGCTAAAAAATTTTAGGAAAGGAAACCGTATGTAAACTTTACATTGATTTTTTTTTCCTGCTTTAGTATTACGTTTTAAAGCTTATTATAAAGCGCCCATTGACATTGACCGTAGACAGGAAACAATAAGTGTAGTTTGAAAAATCTGCTGTAAGTATTGCGTTTCTCAGGTTGCTCAAAAATGAACAGGCCTGACTTGTTTACAGCTTGTACTTGTTTTTTCTGTCCAGATGTAAAGCGTGCAGGCACTGGAAACAGCGTATTGATGAGCCCAGAACAAGGTGTATTTGGCTTTGGCTCCATTGACCTTCTGGCTGGAGAGGAGGAGGATGACATCTTCAATCCGTACGTATAAAGCCTCTTTCACAGATGCTCTCCTTTGCATTAATTTGATGGCAATTTAAAAACCTACACCCCTACCAGATATGTTATTTATACTCCAGCATATCCCGGAGGTCAACAGAGAGTGGTACTTAAAATAAATAATACAGTATTCTTCTGTGACTGTTGCTTTATGAATTGATTTCTACAGTGCCAGAGCTTATCGCCATGTTCCTGTTTCATGTCCATGTGTACATAACTCTCCTGTCGTTAGTGATAAGAGCATTATTATCTTTCTCCAGCTCCACATTCATCAAGAACATACCGTCCCAGTCTCAGCATTCCCGACCCCAAATCAGAGACATTCCCCCCAAGACCAGGAGCACTCCGGAGGCCACGCTGGTGGTCGACCTGGTGAGTTTAATCCTCTGGAGCTTCGTGCTCATACACATGGGGACAACAGTTCAGACACACGAAAAGCCAACATGGAACCTGGACTTTGACAAACTAATCTTAATTTTAATCCCCTAGCATTTTTTCTGAGCTTCTCTCAAAACAGAGATACTTATTATGAGTGGTATCCTTTGGTTGGTGCAATTTAGTTGAATGATGCAGTGGTTGAGTTGCTGGTACGAATGATAAAGAGCCTACTGCGGCTAAAACATGCACCGACTGGGCAGAGCAGGTCTCTCCACAGTCTTTGCTTTAGCAGTAGGTTCTCGTCTGTAGCTGTGTTCTTGTGAAACATCAGTCACAGCCCAAGTCAACATCCAGCAAGCCACAGTCCAATTGGCCAGCGAGTGTTCTTGCTGTGCCTGTTTCCAAAGATATTTTGGGAGCTGACTTGTGCAGCTGCTATTATGTTGCTTATTAAATTAAATTAGGTTTTGATTATGTGGCAGATGTTTCCAAATAATTGCTGTTTGGAAATTTGTGTGGACATATGCAGCTTGCAGCCCAGCTGTAAATTAAAAATGAACGGAGGATGTGGCATCAATATTAAATTATGTTGTGATTTCCATTACAGACTGCATAACAGTTGTGTCTTGTGACTGCATCTCACTGTCAATTAGGTCTTGGTTTCTTTCGTAAAAGTCTATTAGTGGACTGTTCAGTTGAGATTATTTTGTCACAGCACAGTAAAATAGTTTTGCTGAAGTGTAATTACCAGAGCCAAACTGGAGGTGTCAGCAAGAACGCTGCCGTCCCAAATTCAAACTGACTGTGCTGCACCTCAGGAGTCTGGATGTAATATGACATAAACTTGTTGCCTCACAATAGCTGGATGTTGTTTTCTTGAGCTAGACTCAAACACAGTGGTGGTTTTTTCCCCCATCTGTCTCAAATCTTGCCTTTTTGGTTCAGATGTGCTTATTTGCTGTTGCTTAAGATCTCTTACGGAGACCATATTAACTCTGTCACACTGACTGAGACAGGCGTGTGAGTTCATAAAGAGCTTTTGTTTCAGGCTGAGATGATGCCAGAGTTCAGTTGCCAAAAATGTTGCACACCTGGTTTGTTTGGTGAGATAATTTGTGCTGGATGTAAGTAGGAGTTGATGATGGCTAGTCAATGTGGCAGCTTATTCCTCCATGAGGCAAGGTAAAACAGATACTGCACTGTCACCAATGCACCCATAATCAGAAGAGTCTTGATTTTTAATTAGGGCTGCCAGACTGTTAAATTTTTAAATCATGATTAATCGCTAAAATTTAATTAATCACATTTTTAATTGCATGTTTAAAATTCCATTATTTTGCATTTCAAAACAGTTTTGAAGTCCATATTAACAAGATTAAGCAATTCTTACCAATGTCTTGATTGGGAACCAAATGAATGCAAAGAAATTTACTTTATGCTTGTTACCATGATGCAGAGGTAGGAGACAACTTTCAAGTTCAGTTGAAAACTGAGGATTGTGAGGTTAACAAAAGAAAAAACGATGAATCAGTCATCTTTGTAATATTGCTTACTCTGAGAAACTAACTAAAAAATCCCTCTCCTGAAATCCCTTAGACCTGAGTCTTCCCCAGTGTTGACAGGTCTGTGGCCAGTTCCAACCCATTTAGCAAACACTGTAGTAAACTTCCTCAACTTAGTTTCATCCACAGGTCTGTGGCAATTCCCACACTCCAAAATAATGCTTTGCAGGCTTTGGCGGTGCGGTAATCTGCTGACATCAGTCTGATTAGCTGCACCTGTATGCTTAGTTTGTAGGTTCGTAGGTAGCTCAAAGTTGAAGGATTTTGGTGATATTTGCGACAATGTACATATTACCTCTGACTTGTCAACTGAGCTGTCAGAAGAGCAGTGCTGTCGTTATTTTCCATCACTGTGGCAGCAGGAAGTTGCTGCAGCAGCTTGACCAGGGTGCAGGAAGAGACAAAATAGCAGCACACGATTAAAGAAAACAGTAACGCCTTATGTTCGCACCTTTATCGCATTGCTGTCAACGCTGGCAACCCTTGTTTTAAAAATGAAATAAACTAAGTCACATTTATTTATGTCCCTACAGGAGGAGACCCTGATGTTCAGCTCTCTGAATGTGATTGAGGAAGCGGAATACACCTTCAACACAGCCTTCCAGGACCATCAGTACAAGGTAACCACTCACTGCATGTTTTTGAATCTGAAGTAGATGTTCCCACATTGTGAAGAGAGCGAAAGCATCATGGATGATTCACTTGAGTGTGTTTGTCCTCTTGTTTGTCCCTGTGAGGGATGACAGGGAGCAGGAGATGTGAGGAAGTCTAGTCTTAATATGGGGAAATACCTGAACTAACAAGAACACACTGGTGGCACATTGTGGCTAGCAGTCATCTCTACCATCTCTTATTTCATTCACTTATCAGTGATTCAAGTCACTGACAAAAAATGGTTTATTGTGTTTACGTTTCAGTGCTGCAGAAACTTGCAAGAAAATCCTGTCATCTGTTTGACAGTGTTCGATAAGAAATAGAAACGAAATATGTATAAATTTGTTAATTTATTCTGTCTGCTTTTATCAACAGGTGTACATGATCTTACGACCACATGTGAAAGAGTTTCTGCAGTCCATGGCAAAAATCTATGAGGTATGTGTTAATCAGTGTGTTAACCTGATATAGAATGAATTGTCTGGTTGTTTATTGGCACAGTTGGCTCTGGATGAGTGCCGTCTACAGTCTCAGTTTGTTTTTAGTGAATCAGGTAATGCTTTAATCTGCAAAACTGAAACTTTAAATATTTTAGGCTTCTCTGATGAACTGATTGGCCCCATATTTTCAGAACCTATACACTCCATCTCTGAACAGACACTTCATTCATACCTTCCCCCCTTTTTTAATTGAGTTCATCTGAGCTGCTTTATTTCCATCTTTTATCTTATTTTTCTTTGTGCATGGAAAAAAAATTAAAAGTAAATGTAGTTCTCATGATGTCCTGATGCCTGCTCAGTCCTGGTTTCTGTGGAATCGGTCCCAGCTGCTGTTTGTACTCTGTTCCAGCTGTTTGTTTACACATGTGCAAAGAAGGAATACGCCGAGAAGATACTGGACATCCTGGACCCGCAGAGAAAACTGTTTCGGTATGTCTCCTTAAGATCTGCTTACACTTGTGTTTTATAAACTCTTCGCATGACCGCAGAGATGTGCATTCCGTCAGGTTTATTAGACTCAGCCTGCGAGTGTTAGCCCGCAGCTGACCTGTCTGTGACTGTCACGCTGACCTCTGGATTCTGCTTGGAAATGTTACGTGGTTTGTCTGTGGTTTGACCATTTGTCAGTCACTCTGCGATTTTCTCATTTAATAGTGTCAAGGATTTAGCTGACTGATGCCCAGATGGAAGTACTATGAGTGCAGATGTGATTGTGTCATATTGTGAGGGCAGCAGAGATTAGCTTTTCCTTTTGGCTTCAAGTTGTTAATGTCAGTAGAAGAAGATATGTAGAGATTAATAAATAATTGACAGAAAACTAGAATAAAAGTAAAATCAGGTGTGAATAAAATTCTACATGTAATTCAGACTACTATGTATGCTGCTGCCTGTATCGTAAGACATTCCTCAAACCTCTCTACTTATTTAAATTGGCTATATTCTATATTTTTTTGTGATAACAACGTATAAAATAATGTGAAAACAATGCGAAAGAGGTCACTTGCAGATAAACCCACAGATAATTATCAGTGAGTGAGTCTTAGCTCATTGTTTATCTCTCTGACTCACAGCTTTCATAGCGTAGCGCTGTTTTGGCCGCAGTAGGCAGCTGTTTTCACTGAAAAAGCCAGCTAGTCACTAACCGTCTCTGCTGTCTCTGCTGTTTGGTGCAGCGCAGGTCATGTACGGTGGATCTTTAGAGCCATTTGACTGCAAACAGCTGTCTGCGGCAGTCAAAAACAAAGCTGTACGAGCGGTGAGAGTGAACGAAAACAGTAAAGTTGTGGACCGGACAGCTAAACAATGCACTCAGGTTCACTATAAAGCCACCACAGGAAGCTGTTCTCAGAGAAAAAGCTCTTAAAACTCAGTGTATACTACCTGCTTGGCACCAAACAGCAGATGTTGTTTAACACTAGCTAGTGAGCATTGTGCATTTAGCAGCTTAAGAGACAGTTATTTCTCTCAGGGGAGAACTTACAACTTGTTGCCCCCAAGTAGCCCAAAAATCAGTTATTGCAGGTTAAAGAAGGCGGTGTGTTCACTGACAGTAAAGTGACAGTGCAAAGAGAGTTGGTGAAGCCATGTGCTACTTTATTTACAGGAATGTGTGCCCATATGTTGTTAATGAAAATAGTAAATTCATAAGGATGATGGTGGCCCACTGATAAAAACAAAACCCAGTCAGCAAAATGTAAAAATGTGTGCCAGTGTTTTACTGTCTATGGTTACTGTTTGCATGGTTTCAAAATATACTGACACATTTACAGAGAGAAGTGTAACTGTTTTTAACATTGATATTTTTTCTTGTAGACACCGTCTTTATCAGGACGACTGTGCCTGTGTTCTTGGCCACTACATCAAAGATCTCAGCCTTCTCGGGAGGGATCTCGCCAAGACGGTTGTTCTGGACAACGCACCCCACACATACCCGTACCATGTGAGAACTGTGCTTCTAATGAAACTTTAAAATCTAATGCTATGTCATTTTCATTGCTTTTAATGGTCAGGGCTGGTGGTTAGTTATTGTATTAACAAGTTATCAGTACGGGACTAGCCTAGCCACCTAGCTCACCTGCTAGAGTATATACGCCCCATATAAGCTGAGTCTTCAGCAGCGGCTCTGGTTTGATTTCCACCTGTGGCTCTTTGCTGCATTCTCTCTCAACCCTCTTTCCTGTCACTTTACTGCAGTTCTATAATAAAGGCAAAAGCCCTAAAATGTGTGTTGTGTTTTTGCAGCTGATGAACACTATTCCCATCAAGAGCTGGTCTGGGGAGCCGGAGGACAGAGAACTCCAGAAACTCATCCCCTACATGGAGAAGATGTCTGCAGCGGTACGTCTGTCATGTTTCTAGCTTCGTTGTTAGATGATCGTTTTGTGGCATAAATAAGTAGCAGTGTCCCCCAATAATCAATGTCCAGCTGATTAAACAATTAGTTGACAAAAAGAAAATGAATTGCCAGCTCGATTGTTAAATAATAAATTGTTGTAGTCAGTTTTCAGGCCAAGATGTCACCTTGTGATGGTTCCTGCTTCTAAAATGTGAGAATCTGTTGCTCCTCTTGGTCTCACTTTACAGCAATCTGAACATTTTGGACTGTTAGTCATAAAAAGGCATTTACTGACATCATCTCGTGCTGGAGGGTATTGTGATGGACATCTTTTGATGGATGGACAGAGACAGTTGGTGATTCATTTTCTGTCTGTTGACTAATCCATTAATAAACTGATTGTAGCAGCTCCAACAAAACAAAATAATTCATCACTAAAAATGTGCTGAAGTATCAAATATAAAGAAGATTTCATCCGTATGAAGAAGTGTTTTACTGTCAGACTTGTTTCAGCACTGTGTGAGGACGAGTGTTTGAAGTGTGAAAAACACTGTTTCTGTGGTATCAGTTTTATTATGCCTCCACGCCAGCCATAGCCATGACTGGAGGCAGTATGTTCTCAGGTTGTCTGTTCATCCCATTCTCACAAACGCGACATCTCAAGAACACCTTGAGGGAATGTTTTTTAATTTGGCACATGTCCTCTTGGACTAAAAGATGAACTGAATTGTTTTCGGTGATCATAGGTCAAAGGTCAAGGTCACCGTAACCTTGTCTGTCTCATTCTTGCAAATACAAAATCAGGAATGCTTTTAGGGGATTGGGTTTTTTTTTTTTTCAAATTTGGTATAATTACTGATTACTAACTAATTAAATTTTGGTGGCCAAAGGTCAAGGTCACTGTGACCTCACAAAACTTGTTTTTGGCTATAACTCAAACATTGATTCACAAATTATGATACAATTTCATACACGTCTAATAGGATAAAACAATGATCTGATAATGGTTTATATCCAAAAGGTCAAAGGTCAACTTCACTGTAACACCATAATGATTTGCACAAACACTTTTCTGGTCACCACTCAGCGTCATAACTGACATTTGGTCAGATACTGAGTTGGTGACACTAATCTTTGGTGTTTACCTTGAAGCTGTGCTGTTTGTATAGATGGTCTGTGCTGCCTGGGAGGAAAATGTGTGTGAAGCATCCATGTTGTCACAGACATTTATGTAAACTGTAAGAGGAACCTGATTGGTGCACAGAAGCATATAACCGCAGGGCGATAATTCTGGTTCTTCCAGTGGTGGTCCGTGCAAGCCAGTAAACCTTTGAGTCAGTGGTGAATAAAACAGCTGGTTATCTGCTGCAGCAGCAGATCCGCTGTCCTTCCTCCCCTGGTTTCATCATTCAGTCTGAATATCTCCTGTTGTGTTTTTTCAGGAGGATTTTCGGGAGGTGCTGAAGAAGAGGAAGGATCACTTCCACAGGCTGCTGTCGGAGGACTAACAGGACTCTCCAACCCTCCCCCCTCCCACACTTTAACTACTTTATGTGACTTTCACAGCTCATGTTTGCTTTCTTTATGCTTTGGCTAAAAGCAGAATCCAGTTGGAACTAGCTAACCTTTGTGGTGGACCTGCTCCCTCTCCCCCCTGATGACTTTTAAGGACGGCAGATTGGTATTTCAAACATGCTGTTGGTCGTTCGTCGCCAGAACCCCATTTCTCAAAGACTCATTCCACAGGGCAATAAACTGCTGCCCGCTGTTTGTGTACATATACAAGACAAAACTTGAAATATGATGTTTATAGTGGTAATTTTTTTATTTTATTTATTGATTATATTGCTAATCAACTGCTGTTATCTCTGTATATTTTAGATATCCTTTTTTATGCATTCAAATTGCCCTGATAATAAATGGAAAATAAAGCACTTCAGTTATGTTGGCTTTACTTTCAGCACAGTGTGTAATCTGTGTCAGGTCGGTGAAACATTTGATTTGGAGGCACGTCTCTCGTCGTGTGAGGTGAGTGGTTTGCGATTAAAGCTGCTTCAGGATGATGCAAAGGAGGAGGAGGACAGCTGTGAAGATTCTCAGTGAGGTAATAGTGAAGGAGCAGAATGAAATCTCATTTTAGTCTCATCCTTTCACTAAAATGTCAAATGACAAAATAACATTTTTCACAGGCCTGCAGCCTGAACCTGGTCAACATCCTCTGGTGTGTTTCAACAAAGTCAGAAACTGCAGGCAGGTATTATGGTTTTGTCTTTTAGACCTCTTTTCTGGCTTTTCAGCTGAGTTTCTTTGGTGTCACAACAGTATTGTAATAGTTATTATTAAAAAAAAGTGTTCCTGCTGCTTAACAAATAAAACTCATCACTTCCTGTGCAGCAGGAAATAGCCACGAGCAAGTGGAAAAGATGTGTGATGAATAGGTGGGCTCACTTACAGAGGTAGGTTAGAGCTTAACAGTGTATTAAAATAAGAATCGCATTAAACAGCTTCCATTTGGATGAGTTTAATAAGAACAACTTAAGAAAAACAGGTTTCATTTGTTGAGGGAAAAAAATCTTTGATTATAAAAACAAACCACTGACTTTGTAAACAGAAACACCAAAATAAACTGCTCTACTCTACTTTAGGTTTTAATGTATGAATATTATAGCGACACCAAAAAATATGAGATGCAATGAAACAGATGAGGGCTGAAACTGACAACTATTTTCAGCATAGATTAATCTGTTATTTTTTTTAGTTGGTGAATCATTTATACCAGGGGTATCAAACATATGACCCGCAGGCCAGAACCAGCCCACCACAGGGTCCCAACTGGCCCACCAGATGACTTTGCACACTTAATGTTGATGCACTTGTGAAGGCTGAGAGGTGTCAGGAGCAATTTAAACATGTAAAATGCTGCCTCTGAGGCTTTCCACCCTGCCCAGAATACAGTTCTCTGAAATAACAATGAATACTTATTGTGGTCATATTTAAGGATATTGAACATTGTGAAAAATACTGTCAACCTAAAGAATCTGTGTCAGACTTCTATCTTAAAACCATATTAGTGAAACCCTGCTGCTGAGGCCCTGACAAAACTTCACATTATAAATGGTTTATAAGGCAGGGGGTGACTTCTTCAATAGCTTCTACTTAAGTGGAAAATTATGGAAAAAATGCACATGTAATGACAGTGAGTAGTAGACTGACTGAACGTGGAAAAACTAAATTGTACTGTTGAATTTTGACATATTTTCTCTTTCTTCTTTGTTTGATAAATGGATGAATGTTTTCAGAATGAAAAAAAATTGAAGGGGTTGATATGTAGGTTTTTATGCAGTGGTTTCAGTGGTCTGGCCCACTGGAGATCAAATTGGGCTGTATGAGGCCCATGAACTAAAATGAGTTTGACACCAATGAGTTTTTTTTTAGTTCAAAACAAATATAATTGAAGACGAGCAGCAGATCTACACATTTAAGAAAATAGAACAAGTAAATGTTTTTGGCTTTTATGCTTTATTAATTACTTTTATCATCAAAATAGTTGGGCAATAATAGTCTGCTGCTCATTTTACACCTAAAACATGACACAAAATAATTGTAGAAACATTATAGAAAAGAACCAAAGCCCAATACAGTTAATATAAACTCTGTTTTAACACACAATTAATCATTATAGGAATATACTGTAGGTGTGATTTTAAGATACCATCTTAAATTTTGGATATAAGTGTTGTCTTTTCTTGGTTTTAAAGGCTGGATTACAGTAAAGTGGTTAGTATTTAGTCAAAAATATTCTCCATATGGCCCAGCCCTAATTTTGCTGATAATTATCTGAGTATCTATGAGTTAATGATACTAAATCATACTAAAGAAAACAAAGGGATCGCGTGATAATGTATTTACAGTGAATAAAAACACAATAAGTATGTTGTAGTTCATCATAATGGTAGTATTAAACACAGTGCAGTAACGTCATCACACAGTAGGACACACTGTCATTCTGTGTATGAATATTAAAGTGCTGAGCTTCAGTCTGAGTGTAAATGTTTACCGCCCTGTTTAGTCAAACTCGTGTGTGTGATGGATGTGATTGTTAATGTTGAATTTGGAGGTAAACTGGGAGAAAGTGCCTCCTCTTCCTCCTCCTCCTCCTCTCCCTCCTCCTCCTCCACCTCCTCCTCCTCGGGCTTTATTTGCTCCATATGGTGTTGGACATGGTACCCAGGAAAGAAAAAACGCGTTTTGTGGGCGGAGGAAAATCCTAGTATTTGTCCGTCCTGAAATTTGATTCAGAAGTTCGGGATCCTGGAAGACAAAAAGCAAACGTAGGGGGAGGGAAGAAAGGCAGAGAAGGACGGAGAGAGGTTTTTTTTTACTGCGAGAAGAGTAAACTCACCAAATACTCTGCAACCTCCGACTAAAGTAAGTGCATTTATACGCGGCATGCTTCTTAATGAATAAAGCGCTTAGTCAGGGAATTCATGGAGCTACTTCAGTTTACATTTATGTGTGAGATCTGACTGTTAACTGCTCTAATTGCTGCTGAATGGCCACATAATATAAGGTTTCAGCGCTGCTATTTGAGCATGACTTGTGTGTCCTTTACGCGCACATTCACGCGGGCGCGTTTGATTTATTTATCACCAAATGAGGCATTTCCTGCAGCCCTGATACTAAAACCACACAACACCACACTTTACTTGCTTTGTATTAAAGAAGTTGTGGCTCAGCAGCGTGAGCAAAGTCATTTTTCAGCGGGGCAGTAAAAGCACATTGCCCCCCTACGCGCGTTTCCACATCCACGCCAGCTCTGATAAGCAGCGAGATTTATTCCCCCTCCGACCCTGAAGGCATTGAGTCCTAATTTGCGCTCTATACATGGTAAAGTCCTCATTTGTTTGGAGAAAGATCCCCACCGCAGGTTTTACGTGCCGATTCTGCGCCACAGTTGGGTGTGCGCCAGAAACATCCAGGAGAAAATGCTCCAAATTCAATCTGCAGATGGTAATCAAGACCTCCAAAATTCACCATGCAGTGGAAATAACAGCGGAGCAACAAAGGCGCGTGATGGGTGTTATTTTACAGTCATTTGTCTCATGCTTCTTGTCCAATCGTCGTGGGCAGCTATGAGTACCCTATATTTTGCGCTTTTTTATATAGAAGTGACCAAAATAGTATCCAACAGTGGTAAAAGAAGTATCCAGATCATTTTCACAAGTAAAAGTACTATGAAAATACTCCATTACAAGAAATCTAATAGTCCTGCATTGACATTTTGCAACAAAATAAGTAAAAAGTAAGCCTGCAAAATGTCAATTATAATCATATTATTATTGGATCATTGTTACTAAGTCATCTACATAAACTGTACTTTTATGTTTAATCTCTAAGAATGCCTCATATTTTATAAACTGGTCACATGTTTTATATGTAATATCTTCATCTGATGCATGAGCTCATAAATTCGTTAGGTGGATTAAGAAATACAACATGTAGTGCAGCAGAAGTACAAAGCAGCATAAAACTGAAACACTCAAGTAATCCAAGTGCCTCAAAACTGTACTCAAATACAGTGTTAAAGTGAATGTACTCAGTTACTTTTCACTACAGCTAAGCAACTGATTCAGTCTTGAGTTATTGTCTTGAGTAAAGCCAATTTTAGGTATTTAAGAAAAAAAGGATATCATTTTTTATGGTACATTAACTTTCAGTCCTGCCTCATGTTATTTCTGATCATCCTATCCACAATATGCTGTTACAGTCAGGTTCAGGACCCCCCCCCACAGGGTCCCAAGATGAATCTTTGGGGTCACCATATGATAGAAAGTTATTTATTTTATCTCACTTTTTTCTAAGTTTGCTATTTTCTTGTCAAATACTACATACTTGCCCTTCTGTAGGTCCATAGACATCCTTGAAATTAGTTAAATATTGGTTACATTCACCACTAACGCCTTTAGAAATAATCAAATAATTGATATACTGGATACTTCTTAAGGCCCCTAAAAATCTTAGAGGACAAGGATCACTGTTCACAACCCATGATCACACTGAGGTCATAACCTGAGAGAACCACTGTGCTAGAGTAACGCTCCATCATGTCGCTGCGTGCAGTTGACAACAGGGTTTTAGAAATACTGAGGTCATTAATTTTAGGAATGAAATTCTGGTAGGGAAATATTTCTTTTAAAGATGCAGGTACTGAACCTCAACAGGAATCAAGCCAAAAAAATGTGCCAGCAGCACCTCAAACTTTGTCAGTCTTGGCTTTTAAGCAGGAAATATTAGCCTATATTGAACATAGGCAAAGCTCTTTATTTAACGCTGATTCATTAGCAGTTTGATACAAGACATTGTTTTGGGAATTATGCTTATTACATTAAATATGAAGCTGGAGCCAGGAGACTGCTTAGCCTAGCTTAGCATAAAGACTGGAAACAGGGGGGGCAGCTAGCCTGGCTCTGCCCAAAATGATCAGAATCAGACACCTCTACAGATCACTGATAAACACAATATCAATATCATTTGTTTAATACGTGCAACAACCGAAGTTTAAAAGCAGTTTTTATCACCTTTGGAATCAGGCTAGCTGTTTCCCCCTGTTTATAGTCTTTAAGCTTTAAGTTTACAGTTTAAGCTAGTGGGCTGTTTACTGTAACTTCACAATTAGCGGACAAATATGAGACTTAGTGCATGTGAGTCTGTGTGTATCCCGCTGGCTAGCTAATCGCTGCCGCTCTGCACTTCACTCTTATGATGGTTACCGCCAATAGCTCCTTTTCGACCCATAGTGGGGGGACATTGATGATGCCGGCGCATAGCACCCACCCTCTGCTTTCTCCCTTGGTTAACACTTTTAGCTTTGTAAGCACTTTTGCCATTGTTAGAGCTGTTGGTGCTGTTAACAACATTAGCAGGGCGTCTACAG